AGGGACGTAAGTCGGAGTGTGAGTGTGGGTATCGGTGGAGAAAGGGACGTAAGTCAGAGTGTGGGTATCGGTGGAGAAAGGGACGTAAGTCGGAGGGTGTCTGGGCGGAGATGATGACTCGGGGTTTCACTAGGTTTTGATCGAGGTTTGTACAACGCCCGCCGTTCTCAAGGCGCCTCCGTAGCGTTGGGAAGTCGGAGAATGTCAAACAGATCTTGGGGAATGGGCACTGTTCCAGAATCCTCCTCCTTCTTCTCCTTTTCATCCTTCACTTCCATCCTACCCCCCTCTCCTTTTTCTATTCCTCCTACTCATCCTACACTCCGTTTCTCTTTCGTTCGTGTTGTTGGTGGTTTCGTGGTTATTTCCAGTCGATTCATCGTGAGCTCCAGAGCGTGTGTGTATGGGGAAAGGTTGGGGGAGTTTACGTCAAGACTTGCACCAAATATTATTTCCGTTGCGGTAAAAAAACAAAAGAAAGTCCTCATTCGGCCATATGGTGTCGTCGGTAGCAAGTGTCGTAACCGTGATCTTGATCTCACGTGCACAGATATAGTGGTTTCACGCCACTAATTTTGTTTCACTTTTCTTCATTTTCTTTTTACTTTGCGGTCCATGACACAAGCTAGAACTTTTGCTCTGCGGCATTCCTCTGTAGGCTGTTAGTGTGGCCTCAAACTTACCCTTCTTTTTCTTGTTACTTACTTACTGTCTGTACCCTGTGCCGTTATATATACACAAGACAGAGAACAGTCGACGCCACACGTTATCTTTTCTTCCTCTTGCGTTCTCATATACAGCCCCTGAGCGATTGTCCCATCTCTGATCAAACTCCTGTAGCTGCCAGTTGGTCTGCCTTTTCTTCTTTTTCCATTGGTCTCAAATACCATGCCTGGTTTATATTAAGTAATCTTGTCTCTGGCATTCTCAAAACATTTTCCAAATATCTCTATATCTTTTTCGTGCCTACAGAATCCAGCTTTTTTCAACACTTTTAAAAAAAATTGTTAGGTATCGGATCCCACCACTAGCAAGAATCAACAAAGGAAGTGGCCCTGAGCAATACCCTCATGTTCTTGGAAAACAACTTTCACTGAGACGCCAGTAAACCTGTAGGAAGTTTTCGTTGTTCCTTGTCTGATCACATTCCTTGTCGGTTGCGTGATTCCTAGAGGTCTACTGTGTCCTGCTCACGTTTGCACCAGGACTGGGTAAGAAACGTGACTCACTGTTCATGACTCACTAGCGAGATAGGGCCAAGTTTATAGAATGGAAGATCTCTCTCCCCCCCCCTCTCTCTCTCTCTCTCTCTCTCTCTCTCTCTCTCTCTCTCTCACCCTCTCTCTATCTTTCAGGCTTTTGCACTGCCTGAAAGTCAAGACAGTTTAGTCTCTAGCATAGGAGCGAAAAAATGAATGGCGAACCATGTTCGTTGATGTCTGTTTTTGATCTGGCACTTTATGCTGATGACGATTTGTCTCTTTCAAGAGCAAAGATGAAGTTTTTCCAATGACTTTCGGCTTGACGTTTTCAGGAAGAAATTAGGACACACTTGGACTCGCCAGATGTTCGAACCTGGCCCACCTCAACAACAGCTCGTCTTTTCTCAGCCAGCCCATAGCACCTGGTGTGATGATCTCACCACCACAGCCAGGGCCAAAACCGCTCCTACCACCTCTGTAGCTCTCTCTCTCTCTCTCTCTCTCTCTCTCTCTCTCTCTCTCTCTCTCTCTCCCTCTCTCTCTCTCTCTCGTTCTCCTACACATATCATCGACGTAAAGGTCACATCCCTAGGGTCCGCCTTTGCTCTCACTTGACCCGCGCGGCACGAGTGCGCGCCATTGTCTGGGCTTTGTACTGACGCCCACACTCAAGTGACCAGATTGCACTCGGAAAGGGAGTATAATACTAGGTAGGTAGGTAGGTAGGTAGGTAGGTAGGTAGGTAGGTAGGTACTTATTTTACTTAGTGAGTAAGACAAGGGACCCACATCACATTAAGCAAACAGATTTAACAATTACGAGAGACTTCCGTAAAAAAGCCCAAAAAACCCCCAAAAACAAACAGCAACAAACAAACAGAATAACTTATAAACGACACACATATCAATAACATAATTAAACAAAGCCTTTTTGTTGTTAAACATGGATTCATTCATAAAATAGTTTAGTTTGTACAGGTACCTTTTCTCATGGAATAAACATTGTGTTTTCTTATTACTGGGTTGGACCAGGAAAGGGAGTAAAAACTTTCCGAAATACTTTTTTCGTTTCTGCTACACATCTCTCAGAGGACGCTTTAAGTTTAAGTATAGAACAGACAATTCTGAACACTTCTTGCCCTTAACATCCACCCTCTCTCTTAATTTCTCTCTCTCTCTCTCTCTCTCTCTCTCTCTCTCTCTCTCTCTCTCTCTCTCTCCCGCACTTTCTTAAAGAGCTATAATTCTAAAAACTCAGCAGAAACTTAATTACATTTGTTCTCTCAAGTTAAGAAAAAACTCATCTCTGGTTGGCTGCTTGAAAAGTTAAGAAGACCGGGAAAAAGACAAATGAATCCCTTTTTGAAAGACAGAAAAGAAGGGATAATAAAGCACCCCCCAAAAAAAAAAATCCCAACCAAACCAACAAAAAACAAGCCAAACCAAAAAAACAAAAAAAAACCCCAAAAACAACACAGAGTACAATACTTACAGGAATGCCGTTGATACCAGGGAATCCAGGAGCACCCATCTTACCCTGAAACAAGGAACAAGAGAAAAGATTATCTTCCATTGTATATGATATGGTGAAATGACGTTACTTTAGAAGTTCTATACTCACGATATCTTCCACCCTGTTGAATGAATAATGTTCATATTGTCATTGACTAACAGCGTACTCACGTGTAAGAGAGGAGGACCTGGAACTGATCGGCTGACTCACCAGTTGAAGTGACGGAGTGGGTGGCTGGTGGCTGCTCTGGCGGTATTGCCATCATCATCATCACCATCATCACCATCATCACCATCATCACCTCCACCACCACCAACAACAACAACACTCATTCACACCACCAACAACAAAAAACACGGTAACCCACTA